ACCATCCTACACCGGAAGCCTCCCCATTGGGAACAGACCAGCTAAGCCGCATTCTGCCTCCTGAGACAGACCCTGTTGGTGCATCTGAACCTGCTGTATTCTCAAGTCACAGAGAACTATGAATGTTTCCCAGTGTGGCGCTCTTCCGCTGGGTTGTCTTTTGAGTTAGGCCTTCCTTTAATACACGTTCTTGTTCTTTGAAACTGCGTAATTACTCCATCGCACCACACCACCTACCCACAAGCATCCATCTGGATGTCATATAGGGAGCAGCGGCTGGGTCCATGCAGCCATTGCATCCCAATTGACAGCAATAGGATTTCATGAATGGGGATGCATGGATCCCCTGTGTGTCCCAGTGCGGGTAAACGCTAAAGTATGTCTACTGCAACTCCCTCCTCACCGGCCTACCCCAGTGCAGGCTCTCCCCGCTTCAGACCATCCTGAACTCAGCGGCTAAACTTATCCACCTCACAAACCGCTCCACATCTGCCACCCCCCTCTGCCTATCCCTCCACTGGCTCCCTATCGCCCAACGCATCAAATTCAAACTACTCACTCTGACCTACAAAGCCATTCACAACACTGCCCCTAACTACCTCACCAACCTGATTCCCAGGTACCACCCTACCCGTACCCTTCGCTCTTCACAGGACCTCCTACTATCTTGCTCCCTGGTCTCCTCCTCCCACGCACGACTGCAAGACTTCTCCAGGTCCTCCCCCATCCTCTGGAACTCACTACCCCAATCCATCAGACTGTCACCTTCCCTCCCCACCTTCAGGCGCTCCCTGAAAACCCACCTCTTCAGGGAAGCCTACCCCACCCTCACCTAACAGCCGTTCTCCTTCATTCCTCCTAGCACTCCATCCCCCACAGCCATTTCCTCCTGTACCACTACCCCCTCCCTTCTAGATTGTAAGCTCGAAAGAGCAGGGCCCTCTAACCCCTCGTGTGCTGTTTGTAGTTGCTGTACTGTTTCATGTATTGCCCCCCCTCTGTTGTACAGCGCTGAGCAAATCCTTTGGCGCTATATAAACTCGATGTAATAATAATAATAATGTCACATGATGTGAGCGAAGTCTAACTGGTATGAGAGGTGGTACATGAACAGTAGGCAGGCCTTAATATTACCCTTCCAAATGGTCCCAGAACCTGTTAAAAAGCATGGATGATGCCTTCCTACCCTCGATCCCGCATTCACAGGATGCCGTTCTCTAGAATACAGGTGCAATTCAGCGTGTTGCTGTGGGGAAGTGACAGGTCCTTCTTAAATTAAATCACTCCAAGCAATAACAGCATATCTGAAGAAATGGGAACCATGAGCAACATGATTTATTTAACTCAGAAAAGAACCATCACACTTAAATGAAAGTTGTATTTCTTATATGTAACAGACTTGTACAGGCAGTAAAATATACACTTTATTGCATGAAATTACTGGGAGAAAAATATCAGAGCGGGAAGAGAAACATGAATTATTTATGCCTATGGTTTACAGTCACAGTCATTTTCTGGCTGTTTCTCTTGTTATTTTATCTTTAAAGGGAATCCTTCGTGTTTCTAAGGCTTTATAGATATGCATATGAGAGTGATCAGTGTAAAGCTGAAATCCAAGAGGATCCAAAAAAATAAAATAACCAATGACACCAATTAGTGCAGACATGTATACATTAAAATAACGGTGTATGCGTGTTTTTAATGCCAATTAGTGTCTGAATTTGTCTTTATATCTCCTTGCAGTTATCTTTTGCCCAGCAGACTAGAGGAGGCAAAGCCAGCACTAGGAGACAGTCAGGCTCTGATGCAGTGCTATCAGTCTAACACAGGGGACATGCTGACACAAGGAAAAGGCAGAGTAATGACTTACAGTATCTGTGCACTGATATCTCCCAGTCAGCAGGCTGGGATGTATTTACACCAATATTCTGGGATGCGCTTTGCTTCAACTCTAGTAGTACAGGATCGAACTATACAGTCTTGGATCACAAGACTGATTGAACAAACTTCACACAATCTGGCAGGTCAGTGGCAACCCAATATTTAATTTCAGCTTTATTTGATTTTTTTGATAAGAGTCCAGCTTTCAAGAACACCATTCATTGATGGGAGCATGTACATTAGGCACAGGTACTTACAGTGGATATAAAAAGTCTACAGACCCCTGTTAAAATGTCAGGTTTCTGTGATGTAAAAAAAAAAAATAATAATTTCAGAACTTTTTCCACCTTTAATGTAACCTATAAACCGTCCAACTCAATTGAAAAACAATGGGGGGGGAGTAAACAAAAAAAAAACTAAAATAAAGTGGTTGCATAAGTATGCACACCCTCTTATTACTTGGGATGTAGCTGTGTTCATAATTAAGCAATCACATTCAATATCATGTTAAATATGAGTCAGTACACACCTGCCATCATTTAAAGCGCTTCTGATTAACCCCAAAGAAAGTTCAGCTGTTCTAGTAGGTCTTTCCTGACATTATCTTAGTCGCATCCTACAGCAAAAGCCATGGTCCGCAGAGAGCTTCCAAAGCATCAGAGGGATCTCACTGTTAAAATGTATCAGTCAGGAGAAGGGTACAAAAGAATTTCCAAGCCATTAGATATACACAGTGAAGACAGTCATCAAGTGGAGAAAATATGGTGCAACAGTGACATTACCAAGAACTGGATGTCCCTCCAAAATTGATAAAAAGACGAGAAGAAAACTGGTTTGGGAGGCTGCCAAGAGGCCTACAGCAACATGTTTGGTACATGTGACAACAATCTCCCGTATTCTTCATATGTCTGGGCTATGGGGTAGAGTGGCAAAATGAAAGCCTTTTCTTATGAAGAAGAAACATCCAAGCCCGTCTAAACTTTGCAAAAACACATCTGTAGTCTTCCATAAGCATGTGGGAAAATGTATTATGGTCTGATGAAACCAATGTTGAAGTTTTTGGCTATAATTCCAAAAGATATGTTTGGCGCAAAAACAACACTGCACGTCACCAAAAAGACCCACAGTGAAGCATGGTGGTGGCAGCATCATGCTTTGGGGCGGTTTTTCTTCAGCTGGAACTGGGGCCTTAGTCAAGGTAGAGAGAATTATAAACAGTTCCAAACACCAATCAATATTGGCACAAAACCTTCAGGTTTCTGCAAGAAAGCTGAACATGAAAAGGAACTTCATCTTTCAGCATGACAACGACCCAAAGCATACATCCAAATCAACAAAGGAATGACTTCACCAGAAGAAGATTAAAGTTTTGGAATGGCCCAGCCAGAACCCAGACAAGATGTGCCATGCTGATAGACTCATACCCAAAAAGACTGAGTGCTGGAATCAAATCAAAAGGTGCTTCAACAAAGTATTAGTTTAAGGGTGTGCACACTTATGCAACCATATTATTTTAGTTTATTTTTACTTCCCTCCACCTAAAATATTTCAGTTTGTTGCTCAGCTGAGTTGTACATTTTATAGGTCACATTAAAAGTGGAAAAAGTTCTGAAATGATTTATCTTTGTCTCATTTTTTTACATCACAGAAACCTGACATTTTAACAGGGATGTGTAGACTTTTTATATCCACTGTACATGGAGCAGGTATTCTACAGGATCGCTGAAAGACCTCCCACCAAACCCAGAGCACTCTAATCTGCAAGCTTTGAATTTCTTGAAAGAGTAGAAGTTTGTTGGAACCCTCCTGCATCTTCTTCCTGGTGTAGTCATAGTCTCTGGTCTAATGGGAGGTTTTAGGCTGGCTTTCAACAACATTAGTGTCTTGAGGTAAAAAGTATTTTTAAAAAATGGCACACAGGTGGTTGATCTCGAGAGCCCAACCGGAACAACCAATTCTTTGTCTTGAGCACATGACTGTCCCAAAGTCTTTTTCCCTCCCGCTACTTCCTGCCACATCACTTCCAGTCCTGAGCTTCATGAGCCAGTCCGATTAGTGAATTAGCATATGCATAGGGGAATCCTAGATTCTACTTCCATTTATGCTGTAAAAATCATTAAATCGTCATAGCAACACAATGACCACTGACTACCTACAAATTCACATGGCCACTCAGATTGGTCCTCATTGCCACAGTCTTGATTCTTGTTGGTGTGGAAAGTTTAAATGGACATGACACATTTGGTAGATATTACTTTAGTCAAACTCAGCCATTAAAGCTAATGGGGCTGGGCCGCAACCATGTGCCAGACCTTTTGGCATTAAGTTGTATTTAATAAACTCCCCCTTGGAATTGGATAAAAAACTGGCAAAAAAAAAAACTGGCGCTCAGGAGGTGGCAGTATCACCTCTGCAAACCACCGCTCAGCCACCTCTGAAAAACAATCCACTACAGATTGAATTTTAGAGAGGCAAAAGTTCACCTACCGTGTGAAAAGGGCCAAATCAAGCTGATACAATGTCAGGTCTCTAAAAATCCATAAAACCAAACAAACAGGGGCAATACTAAAGGAGAATTCGAGCGAGGATAAAAAAATAATCAGAACACTTAGATAACCACTAGCTATCAATCAGGTACATGTCAACTGGAAAAAATTAAAAGGGCCCCCTTGCATGTTTTGAATAAATTTCTTTTGTTGTGCTTTGTCATGTGACCTAAAGCCTAGGCAACACACTATATGGTATGTGGCAATCAGGAGCTTTGTGTTTCAAGGTATTATAGGCTTTAGAGAGTATTTAAATGGATATACCTGTCAATCAAAAGACTAATCCTGCATATGTAATGATAAAATATGGCCAACCTCGTGTATATACATTATATAGTTACAAACCATAGAATAGGAACAAGGTTTTAAACACTAACTGCAACGATACATTTACAATTATAGCCCACATGGATACGATTTACAATACATATTTTCTTTAATCTGATCTCTTTTGCATTTATAGCTAGCGTTTGTATCTTTGCTAATATCCACCTCTCTTGCAGGCCAAAAATTGTGAACTTGCAAAGCCTTTTTGGAGGTAACTGGAGACCATGCATTGTGGAAATGACTTACCTCTGCCCCAAACCAGAGCTGCCCTGCAAGATTATCATGACGAATTTCTTCTGGAAATTTGACACAAAAATCTCGGTTTGCTCGCTCATGCTGAATGCATTCCTCCATGATCTGGTTTATGATATTTAAAACGTTGTCCTAGGAAGACAAAATGAAAGGCAAAAGAAAGGAAACAATAAGATTATTAATAGAGTTGCTTAACAGTATCCTTCATTTGGAAAAAACAAACATTTTGTATTAAATAAATTCATTCTTATGAACCCCTCACACCATAAAGGCCCTTTCTTATAGATGAGACCTTACATTACCTTGTTGAGAAGTTACGTGTTTTTTGCAGTAAATATTAAAGACAAAGCTGTAGATCTCCAAAAATTCTATTCCACGCCATAAATCCCTTTATTTCCTTAACTTGGGCCCTAAAGGGGTAGCATATGGGATCACGGTTTGGGTCTGGTATGCAGAGATTTTTGTAAGGCAAAATATAGTTTACTTCACCTGCGAGAGAACACCGAATTGCCTGAAGCCAGATTTCCAAATCTGGAGTACTAGTAGGTTTGCAAATATACTTTCTTTACATGGATAACAAAAAGTCAGGTAGATATAAAACTTTACATATTAATATCATGCAGCTGGTGAGAAATCAGATGGCATGGTAGTCTTCTTTTCACATTATTAGCACAATTACTTTTGAACTGTGCTCAAAGAAGCAGAACTAGATTGAACCATCACAGCCGTGACTTTTCTCTAGAGCAGCCTCTCTCAACCATGGTTCCATGGAACCCTAGGGTTCCTCCAGAGGTTGCTAGGGGATCCTTGAGCAATCAAAAACTTCTGCCTCTCAGATAAGTTCCAACTGACACCAATGATCTTTATCTATCTGTAAGGGAGGGAGGTGATGTAGTGGGTGGAATTTTTTCTATTGACCATCAATGTAACGAGCATTCTTCCGAGTGACCATCACACTAATCTACGGTGAAATTATCAGCAGGGTTTCTCTGAATCAAGAAAATTTATTCACGGGTTCCTCCATGGTGGCCGAGTAGGAGTTTTCTTTCAGATAAGAGCCACAAAACAAGCTGCTCAGCTGTCTCCTTAGTTAACCCAAAGTTCTCTGGGAACCATTTGTCATATATTTAATGTAGTTTGTAAAACAAAGCCTGCATATAAATCGTTAAGTAGACAAAATATACACAAAAGAACCAAGCGCTCAACTCTATCTAAAATTAGTGATTAGCACATCCACCTTGCAGCTGTCAGGAAGGGCATGCCAATACACAAGCTGGTTCCTCTGGACGAACTTCTGTGCACAGGCTAATGCATATTCCCTTTTGTGCTTGCAGAAATTGGGCACTTGCTAATACCAATGCACATCTGTGCAATTGCGCATTCTCATGTGCAGCGGTGCTCACGTGCACTATTTAAACTGGGCTAGTGCTCAAGATCAGTGCCGCTTTTTCTTCAGTGTCCTCAGTATCCTGATTCCAGTTGCTTACTCAAATGGTCCAGACTACCCTCAAAACTCTGCCTGCACCGACCTCGGTTTGTTCTCTGACCTCCGCTTCTGTCTGTTCCATTGGCTTCTGCTTCACTGATTGGCTTGCACCTAGACCACGCTTCTGCCTGTGCCCTGTACCTGATCCATCCTGCCAGTGTATGACCCGACCTGTGTGACTCTGCAACTGCCTGCTGCCACCTATATCTGCCTACCACCCTGCTGTTCCTGCCAATCTGCAGTTTGCTACCAGCTGCTGTCCCCAGTACCAGTATTTTTCAGTCTGCTACCCAGCTGCCTGTCAGTCTGCCTGCCTTACTGAAGATCCCTGACAACTTCGCCTGTCCAGTGTGGACGCCTGCCCTGCCGCTAGCAGGACATACAGGCATTCGTGCCACTCTGCACTCCTGCGCCTCTTGTTTACATTACCAGGGACCCGAGTCAGAGGTGTAAGAGAGGCTTTCCTCATCAAATCAGGATCTGCTACCAGGTACGTGATAGCAGCACTAGTGTCCTTGATTTGAATCCCGCTCAGCCAAGACACCATCTGCATGGAGTGCATGTCTAATCAACTAACCGGTTTCTGGGCCATATCCCATGATACGCTCCCCTGATGACATGGGCCAACAGAAATAGCCATCTGTTACCCAGCAGCACCATGAGGAGCATGCTAAGGTTACTTCACCTCAAGTGTGACAGAGCCAGTCTGATCTGACATAACCCAAAGCACTGCAGCATCTTTGACAGTCTGACAGGACCGGGTCAATTGCATTACTGACACAAAGACACACAAGATTGTCAGAGAGTAAACTGACATACATAACCTTCCATTCAAAACCATCCCATTCCAAATGATGCAATGGCAAAAGACATATGGCTTTGAGAACACAAATTCTCATGTATATACTGTACTGTAAATTATGTTATATCCATCAGGCCCACTGGTTTTATAGATGTATTAAAAAAAAAAAAATAACATACATTTATACAAATACACACAGATGCATAACACACACTTGTTATATTGATGGAAAAAATTATACATTTTATAAAAAGCATCTTCCAAAAACCTGCTATACACTGCAGTGAGGTTCTGTTTCAATCCCCACTATATGATATTCGGTCTTTCTCCAATCTCATTCCCAAGGACCCTCGTGTGGCATTGTATCAGTAATGTAATTGACCCAAGCCCGACAGTCTATTAAAGATGGTGTAAATGCTTGGGGTTATATCTGACAGATGAGGCTGGCTCTGTCACACTATGAGGTGAAATAACATTAGTGTACTTCCCGTGGTGCTGCCATAGTAACCGATGGCCATTTTATAGGCCCACGTCATCAGGGGAGAGTATTACGTACTTAGATCCTTTTGTGTTGTCATGGCAGCCTCTGACTGATTTCATTGGCCCACGTTATTTGAGGTGTATGCTCTGAATTCAGATTATTCTAGGAGGTAGGTAGGCTCTGATGAAGGGGACTCATCTAAAAAAAAAAAAACAAAAAAAAAAAAAAAAACCACTTTGGCCAGTAAGATGTGCGCTCTACAAGTGACTTGTCTCTAAGATGGTATACACAGAGTTCTTGTGGATTTACTTAAATTTCTATCCTACATTGTGGTCTGTGTACACCAAAACAGTTCATTTTCATCTATTTTATTAAAAGGTGTCCCAACTACTTTAAAAGGCAGTGAGCTTTGCCATTTGTTTTTATTGAAATTGTTTTGTTATACAGTATGTGTTCAATAAGTTGTTCTCCACTATTTTAGAACAATAGGCCCATGTATGTTCAGATAAGTGGAGTTATGGACACTGGGACTCTCCAGACTTTATATTAACAGTCTCAGAACAGACATTTATAAGGAACAGAGTTATCACTGTTCATATTGTAAGGGATTGCAAAGTAGGAAAGCCTGAAGCAAAAGGTACAACTGTGCAATGGAAACTAAAAAGACACCATGCATGTGTTGTGTGCAAGAGGGAACGTAAAGGACACACATCACAGTAGGTGGACATTTTTGGCAGAATTTACTGCAATCTATAAATGCCTCATTACCAGTCCATGACCAAATGATATTTCTCAGAGGCAATAATTTCAATACCAAAACTAGACAACAGACTCTAGGAAAGATATTGTTCTACCCTGGCAGGAAATGTCAGAACTCCACTGCTCTTATTTGTAAGTTTGGCAATTCACCTGCTGGGACATTTGGCCTGGTGCTCTATCACCACATACATAGGCCCAGATGCAAGTAACTGCTTCCATGGCACTTGCTTGGATCTGGTAACCACTGTTCCATTAAGTTCTCAGCCCTTGTGGTTTGCTCACTTGGTTGTAGCTTGGGCCTTACTCAAAATAGAGTAAATTCAAGTCACAGGAAAGTTTTATAGTCCAGCAGAAATGTAGTACATATTCTGTTCATGGAAGTGGACAAAACCATTTTTGTCAACTTTGAAGCTACACTAGGAACCCCTTGGGATCAGAGGACAGTTTATATTAATTTTAGGTTGAACAGGTAAGAGAAACTGCTCCTAATGTGTTGTAGAAAAAGGAGGGGTGCTCACTGTCTGACCTGGATTGCATAAACTAATGAGAATTCTCAGTGAATTACAAAGGCTGCTCTTCTATGTATATACCCATGCATCCAGTTTATAAGGGTTTGTTTTGGGGCAGTAATTTAATGGAAGCCCAAAAGTTGCTCTTCCACAGGGGCCCTTGGGTGACTATCCTTCACTCAATCCCAGGCAACAACTGAGCTTACTTTGACAACCCTTTATACCACAGCTCTGTCCCTTGGCTTCTCCCACAGAGGCTCTTGCCACCAACCATCCATAGTGTCATTCCTCCCCACACATGTATCATTAATATTTAAATGGCCCATTTTCATATATTTATCAGAGAAGTATCTCCAACTGTTGATCAAAAAAGTTTTTATTTTTTAGCCATGTTTTGACTAAATATGGCTGCCACCCCCTCTGCTCTCTGAGTACATCCAAGAACAGCTGGCCATCCCCAATAGACAGCCACATAATAAACCAAGCTGTCAAACAAGTAATCATATTTGAGATACAATCTAGAGCAAGCATCAATAATCAAACAATCCAATCACTTTACGGCCTGTCTCGTCAGAGTAATACATGCATTACATTGCTGACTGACTATGGCTGTAAATCTAAGTACTACCAGGAGTTAAAGATATTTTTTTAAATAACCAACTTTGTGTGTAAATTTTTACGGGATGGAGTTTGCGCTGAATAAATCAACCAAGCTGCGACGCCTGAAGAGCCATTTCCTGCAGTTATTGACTAATATAAAGATTTATCATCTGCAGCTCAGAGAAATGCAGATTACACGTATATTTAGCGATCCATTCCCTGTATCTCGCCTCTGCGATGAAAGGAAGGAGATTTATTAGCATTGCAGAGTCTGCAGGAAGAAACATTTGTAAAAAACATAAGAATACATGTTGCAGAAAAAAAGCACATTCTATAGCTCATTAGACTGATGGTGAGCCATGCCGCCGAGTTCACGGGTAAAGAGTTTCCCATATAATTAGCACTTATTACAAATTACAAGAACAAACTGAATTTTTCAGATGTTAAGGAGTTCAATTAATAAAAAAAAAATCTAAATATAAAAGGCTGCTGTAA